AGCAACCTTATAATACTGGAGTTACTGATAATTACAGAGAGGCTAATCTTAGATGACTTTATTATAATATTGTTCCAATATATTTGTTCCATATTCTTTCTATGAGAAATGTAATTATTAATAGCTCCATCCTGTTGTGGTGTTGCCCACATTGAACTAGGAAAGGATGGCAGGCACAAAAAGAGATTCACAAGGATGATGGGGCACTTAGCTTGGGTTTAGTGGACAGTAGGACCACAACATCTGTGGTGTAGCTGCCTAGAAAAATAAGTTGACTAACAATTGTGTGTGTAATTTACATACTTCGAATGGGTAGTGATGTGATTGATTATCTAGTGCTATGTGTCACAGGAAAGCTAATTGGCAACATGCCTCTGTCCTAGTCAGTTTACCTGAAGGCCATAACCTACTGGGCAATGATTTTCTGTGTAAATGGAAATGTCTCTTACCTTGCTTTACAAAATAGATGATACTTCTGGAAATACTCACTGATCCTGTGGTGTGATAGGAGGTTAATATGATTGCTCCAGTGTATCCACTTGAATCCCTATGATCTGCTGCACATGCGCATCTAGTATTTCCACTTAGAGGTAGAAGTACTGAAAAATTGAATAGTTCTTTGGTACTCAAAAATATAACCAGCGAAACATGCAGGCAATGGTAGCTCAGTGACATTTTCTGTTAAGGCATGTAACAATATCACTGCTGAAGCAGACTTCTGAAAAAAAAAGAAACCTCTGTTGGGCCTGTTCAGAAAGCTGCAGCAGGAAAAACAAAGAATGAACAGGCTGCTGCTTTCAGATTAAATCAACATACACTGTACTGGCTTCTAAGTAGCTACCCTCCTTGGCTTCTATTAAATTCTGGATCTGGACCCTTGGTTGAAGGGTTGAAGCAGTTGAAACACTGCTTTAGCTATGAAGAATGCCTGTTGATATATATAGCAAATGCAGTGTTTGCCATTCTTTGTAAATGTTACCACTGTACATTGGGCTAACTGGCTCAAATGTTCATTGTCACTCTTAGTTTTTGCCACATGAAGATGGAATGGATCCTAAAGTATGTTTCTGAATGTGTTAGAACAAGATGGATAATCTGAAATTGCTGCTAAGCCCCCAGCTACTTCATTGCAGGCAAAGAATCTCCCTTTTGAGTATTTTCTCCAAAACAGTGAAACTCCCAACAAGAGAGGTACCTACAGTTCAGAATTTACCTTTTTCTACTACCATTAATGATTCTGTCTTTCACAAAATTTTCATTTCCCAATGGACCAGCATCAGTGAACACTTATATCAATCACTTAAGAAGAGATTTGAATGGAGAAAAAGATGAAACCACTCATACTGTTGCTTAAGTCAAATGAGGAGTCACCTGTTTCTGCCTGGTCAAAGCAGACCATCAGCTATAGACCTGCAGTACTCTATTAGTCTGCCCTTTGCTTCCTTTTAAGGTTCCCATGGCTTCTGGCTTGTCATTGCAGGCATCTTGCCCACTAATATAGCGTCTCCCTGGTTAAAAGAAGGGACAAATGGACCTCTACCTCTGGGCAGTGATTAGTTATTACAGACTTATGCATCCACATAGGTAAATGCCTAAGAAGGGCCACTCAGGTTGTAAAATCTTACTTTGGGTATCAAAGGAGAACACTTCCTTAGTGTACCCAACAGCGACAATGCTATATTACTAGCTTAATTAAATCACTGTATAACCTCAGTCACAGATTGAACTGACGTAAAAATTGCGGGGAAACTGTCATATGCTACTTTTAAGATCCAAATTCCTATTAGGGAAATGAAATTGATAATTCATACTGTGCCCTGTAATTGTAAAAGACAGTTGGACATTGCAGAAACTGAAATCTATTGATCAGGCAGTATAGATGGACTGCTTAAAAGAAAATCTGTACTGCAGAAATTATTGGTTAAATCCTCTTATGTGTTTTAAAAGAAAGGTATTATAGGTGATAGTCCTTTATAGATGTACTGATGCTGTCTGAGAACTGACTTTAAACTGTGAGGACTTTCAAACACCTCCTGTGAAATTATCTGCACAGTACCTGATCAACAGGTGCTCAAATATTCGGAGCCACTGGAGGCAATGTTCTATTGATGAGCAACCAAATTTATCTTCAGGGTTTAATAAAACAACAAGAAGGCAGAGGATGTCAGACATCACCTGCACTAGTGCTACTTGCATTATCCTGTTAGAATATAGACAGAACTGTGGATACTGAATACCAGGAAAGAAAAGGAAAAATAGATTTTAAATTATTGCGGAGTCAGGAACACAGAATTATGTAGTCCAAAACTTCTGTGGCATAGCATTATTCTTCTCTTCTGGTGTCAGAAAGGTAGAGTTATTTTTCTTTCTGAACATAGAAACACTCTGCCGTGAATCACCTTAGTCCCAAACTGAGTTGGATTAATTGGAGAAAATACGGTATTAATCTTTTTCTTAATATTTACCAACAGTAATTGGAAAAGATTAGATAGTGAATCACACACAAACGACTAGGCCTTGTGTAGAAGAAATACCTTCCTCAACCTATGGATGTTTACTTCAAGAGTAGGCACCCTGAATTAGTTTTTACTCTTCTGCCTGCAGCATTAACAAGTCAGAGCAGATTCATGCACATCTTAGTCATATTGAATCTTTTCCTCTGGGATATATTATGAATTCCCTCACTAAAAAAAAAAATACTAACCTGGCCTTAATTTAATCCATCCTTTGTATTGATCAGGTCATTTCTTATAACCTTAGGATTCAGCATATAGTAAATCTTTCAACTGGCAGCCTAGCTCTCAGGAAACGGAAAACTCCAGGAGAAATACTGGAGATCTAGATTAGCAGATGGCCTTTTTTTGGTTCTAGAATATGCATCTGGAACAGGTGGAGTGAAGTGAAATGAAATAAAAGAGATATGGCCAATGTCCAACAGAAAGTGCCTAGCAGGGTGTCAAGCCAAGTGATCACAGACTTAGCAATATTCTTTCAGAAAGAAAAGTGCACAGTATTTAACATACTTGCCACTGGTAAGCAATTTAATAAAAAACAAAATAAAATTAATCAGGTAACTGATTTTCACAATGGCCAAGATAAAGAAAACTATCTGAGCAAAGGAGCTGTTTGTTTCTTACATTATGAATACTGCTGGACTGTGTCTCAAGCTCACTCAAATCTAGAAATAAGGAAAATCCCTTTATCTCTTTGATTGAAGACCACAGTTGTAACTTGGTATTGCCTTGCCTATGCATGTGACCTCAGGTGAGAGAAAATCATATTCAATGTATACCATTGTTTCAAGGAAAAGTTTAAAATGTAAGACCAGTTTACTTCATCCAATCTATATAATAAACCCTTCTTTCATTGATGTTTTGCAGTGGCAAATAATTTATTTCTTCTGTGATAACTCTGCCAGTGTTTAATCCTCATATGTTGCTTATGAATTTACAAATCAGTTAGTCTATAAGTCACCTGGAAGGTGACATCCACTGTGCTCACATTTGTGTTCTTTCTCTTGTAGTTTACTGGAGATTCAGCTCCTCAGAGTGCTGTAGATTGACTGTTGGGAGTAACCCAACAATAATGGAGTTTATTAATAAGGCAGTGTATTTGTTGTCATAACGAGATTGAGACTTCCTTCCTGGTAAGTGGACAGCTGAATGGCTCAGCCATTCATCAAATGAAGATGAAGAGGTGGAGGTACCCGGAGGGAAGAATTACTTATGCATAGCAGTTGGCATGACATGGTTATGAATCATGAAGAAAGCCGTTACTTTAGAAAGAGCTGAAGGAAGACTATGCCACATTTTCTGACCACTAGGGGACAGATGGCTCATTGACTCTTAGAAATACAGTTACCATCATTTCCAATAACTTGGTCAAAAGTGATTTCTGCCTTCAAAGTTCTTGCCCCAAAAAGGAGAGCAAAGTTACAAATTCTACTACATAGGAAAGATTTCTACTATGTAGAATTATTTTTAAGTTCGTAAGAGACTTGGTCACCTCCTTTACTCAGAGAATGAAATTTATGCTACTTTTCTTTGGTTGAAATTCAGATTGAAATCTTTGGTAATTGCTAAAGGAACTGTAGTAATTACCATAATTACTAAGGTAGTGTCAGAGGTAACAAATGAAGTAACAAAGCATGTTCTGTCATTAGACAGTGGAACCAAGCACCAGCACTACCCTCTGTTGAGAAGACTGGAGTTAATTTTTAATATACTTACACTACCATTGTACAAAAGGGAAAAAAAGGCAAGGAAAAATCTTTACATAAATATTCTATTTTTTTACTTTGAATTCTTAGGTAAAACAAGTAATTGGGTTTACCTGAAAACTGTAGTAGAAATCAATATATTAAGAGACAGCCGATAGACCTTAAAGACAAATAGGCCTCAGCTTGTGTTCTGAAACTAGTTCATTGAAGGAATGTTTATGAGAAAAAAAAATAGCAAGGAAAATGGTCAGACATGACGAACGAACAACAGAAGTGAGAGATGAGCTAGGATCTTCTAGGACACGGGTGACAGAGGGATAGATTTCTTCTAACAAAAATAGCTATAGCCAAATGTTTTAACAGGGTGTGATAATTTTATATTAACAATAATAAAAGGAGACCTTTTCTCTGAAACCCCATTCAGTTAGCCTTGAACCGATGTTCATGAGGAGGTTCCCACTGCAGATACTCTGATATCTTCTTAGTGAACTTGTTGAAAGGTTGGTAAGTTAGGCAGGATTTTTTTTCTGGTGGACTTACCAAAAAATAAAGACACTTTGAGTCAAGAAGAAGCTTTAAACCCTGTTAAATTCCTTTCATTTGTATTTCATAAGTAACATGATTTGTATGTATTCAGTTATGATTACATTGTGAATTACAGGGATTTTATTCTTTTTTGCTTATGTGTTATGCTACGTAAGTGGGATTATAAGTAGTGTTCTTTCCAGTTTATTGTTGGTGATAATCTCATTTCTCTGAGGTTGTTCATGGAAGAATCTTGGTTCCCAGCTTGTGTCTTTTGGTCAGTGTTTGCATTCCTTCTGTATAACCTTTACAAAACTCTGTATAAATTCTGTAAAATTTTTTTCTTCATACTCTTCACACTCTTTGCATTTTGCTGAGATTGTGGAATTCAACTGAAAAACAAAATGCAATAATGAAGCAGGATACTGACCTATTTGTTCTGATAGAGAACTAACCCTTATTTGTCCTGTTTTTGTGAATAACTCCAACAGAGTCAATGGCTACAGAAAGCATTGCTGGAGGCTTCCATGATGCTTATGGTCTATGCAGCTCCTGGCTTGCTTTCTGAGTAGGTTCAGCTTTCAAAGATACAGCACTTCAGTGAGAGATGTGAGCAGCTGTCCCTTTGAAAATTAGGTTACTTTTCTGTATGTGTCTGAGCATGCCTGACTTTAGATACTGAAGTTGCAAACTGTTATTTATACATACACATTCAAACACCATGACATATGTACGCATGCACAGTCAAAAGTATTTGCTTTGGTGGGAATCTTGAAATTTGTTTTCTAAAACCCACTAAATTCTGCTTTTTTATTGTTATATGTACTGGTTTATGATCCAGCTTATTGGATCCCATTTGCTTTCATCGGTACCATCCCACCTTTTATACAACAAAAGTGGTATTTCTGCTACTGAGGAAACATGTTTGATTGTTGGTGTTACATACCTTGTTGTTTCCTAAGCTAGCATTTCCATTTTTCCATATGTTCAATACATCCTGTGTTTTACTACATTTTTTGATAAGACATTCTTGAAGAATCACTTTTGTCTCTAAGAAAAAGCATCTCATTACAGGTTCTTGACATTCTTTCTGAAAAAAATTGTCGTAATTGTTTACAATTAAAAGGGAATAAGTGAATGTAGGATATAATTTACCACAAAGTGGCTGATTTTTATTTACTAGATATCTCTTCTTACTATTCAAATACTTTTAAATATCTGCAAAGGTTGGCTATGAGAGCTAACAAAATCAAGGCCAGACAATTTGCTAACATGTGGTGAAATGTAGTGTCTTGGTGAAGAACATAGAAAAATAATTAATTAGGATGGGAATTTGGGATATAATTAAACACAGTGGAATTAAATTAGTATTATTCTCAGTACTTCTAGCACTTTTATTGAGAGATCTGAATTCAGAATAGATAGGGGAGAAAAGAAAGTATATATTACCTGTGTTTCACAAATTAAGGAAAAAGAAGCAGAGGTACTAATTTCTCCAAGTCAGCAATAAAACCAAGAGTGATTCCAGGTTGTTTGACTTTCATATCAGACTGTCCTACTTTAAGAAAATCTTCCTGACATTACTAGGTATTAAATCAGCCATTACAATGTATTAAGGTCTCTGGCTCAGTTCAGTGAAGGGAATATGTGTGCAGATGTGGACATGCATGTTTTCAACTTTTTTTTCCTGTCATGTACAGGGCTAACTGTACAGACACATCAGACTGCTTTCTCAGGCTTGCCAGATTCACTGAATACATCAGCCTTGCTGTATTCTGCATGCACACTGAGACTATTCTGCACTGAGGTAGTTAGTCCATCATTTCTAGGAAATCTTTCATTAACTCTTTATGTACAGGATTCATTCATCGTTCATTCATTTATCTGTGTTTGGCACAGTCCTCTTGTGAATGTTTATGTTGGCAGGAAAGCAGTGTCTCAGAAGCAGGCTACTACCACAGTGATGAGTCCAGCCAATTCCACCAGGGCTATACTGAAGGTGACTGCTAGAATTGGGGTATTGGCTGGATTAATTTTCTTGGTGGGATGCATGTTTCCCATGGAGTGCAGACTGAAGTCCACAGCAACAGATTATGAAAAATTCTCTTCAGGACTGAATTAGTGGAAACTATGTTTAAGATTATCATATTTTACATAGGTTTCTATTATTGTGTTAAGAATTATATTGACAAATTAACATAATTAATTCTTTGCAGGATAAATTATAATCTGCAACTATTAGAAATCTAACTCCTTGAGAGTACCTAGGTATTTGCTGCTAAGCTAAGGAATGGCAAAAGCAGAGAGATGCACAGGTAGAAATGCACAGGTAGATGCTGACAGTTACTCTCCATATTCCACTTCTCCAGTTTTTTATTCCATTAAATAGTGCATGGTGTTAAATAATTGTCTTTGGAAGTATTTTCTTTGTCACATTTTTCCTCTCTCAAATTACATATGAATACCAGCATTATTTTAGCAGCATTTGCTTTTATAAGATCATTTTGTATCATCCCTTTTAATTGATTAATTTTAGTAGCAGGTATTCAATAAAAATAATTAATGCCTGCTTACAGAATTTATCATAAGTACTTTAACTAATAGAAATGTTCCTTCCAAGGCAAATTATTTGATTTCTGAAACTTTTCTCAAATTAGACAAAGGCTGCCTTAGGAAAAAGTTGCTACTAAAGAAATGAAGCTATGCTATTAGACTAGTTCTGGTCAAATTTTAAATTTACTTACATCCTCATCTGTGTTTGCAGTATATAAACTAACATCAATGTCCTAAAAGAAAACAAGAGTTAGAATTATGAACATTAACTAACAGATTTAGAGATAATAAAGCTAACTCTGCCAGACATGGTTTAGCTCCAAGTTCAAAGGCCAAATCCATCCAGGTACTGGGAGCCAGCAAGTCATGGAATCTTAAAGTCACCTAGTAACCTGCAGGATGGGCTTCACTGTGAGGAGGACTAATCAGAATAGAGTCCCACGATACTTTCTCCCAAGGCAGTAACTCCCAAGCCCACTGCCCCTTTCCTTAGGAAAAGTAAGAAAGAAAATAATATTTAATTCTAGAGTCCGCAATATTTGGTCAACTCCAATTCCCTTTAACCTTCTATTCTGTTGTGTCCACCCACAAAATAGCATTAACACCATCCCTTTTCCTGCCCCCTGTCACTGACAATTCTTGGCTGAGTACAGTGCTAAATATTTCATTATGTCTGCTCCTATGATTACATGAAATGCTGACTATTTTATGAACTTACTTTGGATGTCTTGATCTGCTCCAAATCTTTCAGAACTTCTGCCCACTTGCAATGTTCTGCTGCTGTCTTTGGTACATAAGCACTAGAACAGAAGAAAACATGACCGTTAGGCTAAACAGTTGGTATACACAACATTTATGCTGAAAAAAGTCAGAGGTTATAGATATGTAGTTTACATGTACATATACATATGGTAAATGTGTGGGGAGAGTATATTTGACAAATCATAAAATCATATAGATACATAAAAACTGTATCTCAGTCACACACTGTGAAAACAGTCAATGTGTTTTTTAAAAAGGTGTTTTATAGAATGTAATGCGGCTCTGTAAAATGAGAAAGGTTCAGCTACTTCATGTAAGATATTTACAATTCTTTTAAAGTATATAAAAAAATCACAAATTTCAGAGCCTCTTATACTGAAAATTTCCCCCACCTGCTGCTATGGAGTTTTTATCTTAAGCCATGTAGAAATATTATTTGTAATTTTTTGTATTTTTTTGTGTGTACAGGAATGCTTCTTCCTGCTATGGATAAGATTTTGCTTAAAGAGAACCACTAAAGGGTGGAAGATTTCCTTCACCTTGGAAGATTTGTGGAATGTCAATTGCAGTTTTAATGTGTCCCCACTTGGATCCTTAATTTAGATGTCTTTCAATACGGCTGTACTATAAATAATATAGGACAATGCAGGGAAAGACAGACCGCCTGTTTTGGGAAGCTGGTTTAAAAGAAGAAGTTATTAAACATTTAAGCCTTAACCAAAGGATCAAAAATTACAAGAATTTTGGGAAAAGATAAAAAGGGGGGTTGTAACAGGACACTTACCGTATTTTTGGCGGAGGGAAAAAAAAGAGAGAGAAGAACTGTCAGACCTTAGCAGAGATTTGACTGAAGGGGCACAAGGAGAAAACTTGTGGGGCATGTAGGCCCTAGAAGCAGGGCTGGTTTTCTAAGACAGGAAACTGAAGTGAGAATGGAAGGAGGTGGCCTCGTATACATAATTCAGTATACATATTTAAAAATGCTGATATGCGGTGTTTTTTTCATTGCAAAGACATATGGCAATTGATGGAGGTCTTTAAATGCAACAATAGTCTGCTCTTGGCTTGGATGGGCATACGCTTTGCTGGGTGAAAACCTGGCTGGATGGCCAAGTCCAGAGAGTTGTGGTCAATGGATTTAAATCCAGTTGGCGGCCGGTCACAAGTGGTGTCCCCCAGGGCTCAGTACGAGGGCCGCTCCTGTTTAACACCTTTATCAATGATTTGGAAGAGGGGATGGAGCTCACCCTTAGTAAGTTTGCAGACGACACCAAGCTGGGTGGAAGTGTCAATCTGCTTGAGGATAAGGAAGGTCTCCAGAGGGCTCTGGACAGGCTGGATCGCTGGGCCAAGGCCAATTCCATGAGTTTCAATAAGGCCAAGGGCCAGGTCCTGCACTTTGGCTGCAACAAACCCCACCAGCGTTACAGGCTTGGGGAGGAGTGACTGGAAAGCTGCCAGGCAGAGAGGGACCTGGGAGTGTTGATTGACAGCCGGCTGAACATAAGCCAGCAGTGTGCTCAGGTGGCCAAGAAGGCCAATGGCATCCTGGCCTGTATCAGCAATAGTGCTGTCAGCGGGAGCAGGGAGGTGATCATTCATTCCCCCATACTTGGCTTTAGTGACGCCGCACCTCGAATACCGTGTCCAGTTTTGGGTCTGTCTGTACAAGGACACTGAGGTGCTAGAGAGGGCACAGAGGCGGACTACCAAGCTAGTAAAGGGTTTGGAGCATGTCTCATGAGGAATGGCTGAGAGATCTGGGGCTGTTTAGCCTGGAGAAGAGAAGGCTGAGGGGTGACCTTTTCGCTCTCTACGAGTACCTGAAAGGAGGTTGTAGTGAGGTGGGGGTCCATCTGTTCTCCCTAGTAACAAGTGACAGAACCAGGGGAGGTTCAGGCTGGATATTAGGAAGAATTTCTTTACTGAAAGGGTTGTCAGGCATTGGAATATCTTGCCCAGGGAGGTGGTGGACTCGCCATCCCTGGAGGTGTGTAAGAGATAGGTAAATGTACTTAGGAACACGGTTTAGTGGTGGTGATAGAGCTAGGACAAAGGTTGGGCTCGATGATCTTGAAGGTTGTTTCCAACCAAAACTGTTCTATGATCCTATGATTCTAATTCCAAAAACTTGAGGGTTATCATGGAGATTAGGGCCAAGATGCATTCTTGACCAGACTAAACGTAGTCAAAGACAGAATAAAGTACAATTCATGGCCTATGAAGCAACCAGGAACTGCATACCATGGCAGGAGAGGATCCACTCTCTAAAGTGACTGGAGGCAAGTAGCAGCTGTAATAATAGAAGTAAATAACTTGTATTTACTGTCTAATTAACATTGACTTTATAGTTACCATAGGAAGAAGATGATTAGTCCCATCTCATTCTTTAAAAGACAAATGAAATAGCTGCTCAGAAGAAGATACAGCTGATGTTGCAGACAAATACTTTTCAGGTGTGTTTTCTGAAAGACACAACCAAGATGAGAGTTTGTCACAATCTGATTTCACAGAATTTTGCTTTAGTACTGACTTAATTAACCAATTTGACAAGACATCCAATCAAGACTAGACTACCTGTTGTGTGTAGATTGAAAGACCAGCTGTTTTGTAGCATGCAGAAATATATAACCACTTTACAAAACTGTTGGCAGAAAGTCAGATGCTGAAGACACTGCAAAAATCTGAACTCAGCCTAGGCTCCGTATTTATTTGTCTGTTCATACTGCAGGCTGCAATTTAAGGCAGGAACAATGTTAAAGAACTTTTGGGTTTGTTTTCCATCCCGAGATCTTTCCCCTGGCTACCTTTTGCTACCTAAATTCTATGAATTACCTGCAACTACAACATTACCTGCAATATTGTGGTTACATATATATGAAACTCTGCATTGAATACATCTAATGCTATAGTTATGTATATAGATCTGAAATGTAATATTTAGATACAGTATATATTTGTACTTCTTTATATAGCGTATGTACTCTAATACTGGGAAGTGACACATTTAAGAATTCTGTCAGCAGTCTGGCAACTGGAAATAAGGAGGAGGTGTGACCTGTGTGTTGGCCATCAGCGAACAGTCCACTGTGCACAGCCTGAGAACCTTTGTTCCAAAATCACAAGCACTTTGATTTAAGATGATACAGTTCCTTCACAGAGCTAGGTTAATTATCTGTGACTGTGCCAAGATTTTATTTCTTATCATACGTGCAACGCTTATATTAACTCACTCAAACAATGTTTCTTTATCAGTGATCTATTTACATGCTAACTTGCAAATCGATATTTAAAAACGGACCAGAGAACAACGTAAGACAAGAGCAAGTACTGTGCTGTGATAAAAATATCAAAGTAGGAGGTCAATCCACACATTGCCAGGTTCACAGCTAGCTTGCTGAAAGCCACCTTATTAAGGCATCTACTGGCAAAGCCAGGAGAGTAATACTTAGACATGTCACAGGGGACTTCTGAAGAGTGCTTGTAACAAATATATGTTACTCACTTAAAAAGAAAATGTTTTAAATACATTGCAGTTATTTTGTTTCCAAAACCCACAGATATAGCTAAAATAGCATAATAACCTAATAGCTACATAAATTTCCACACTCAATAACGGAAAGCAGTGCCAGACCCTTTTATCACCTGTGTGTGTTCAAAACCTGTTAAATAAGAAGTGTGTAGAGGGATGATAAATAGATAATCTAAATTACAGTAAAGCCAGAGCAAGTAATATCTCATCTGTATTCCGAACTATTTCGTTACGGAACATGCCATGTTCTTGTTACCCAAAGTATGGCTGAAAACAAGGCTCTACCTGTTACTGTTTCCACAACAAATAGAAATTGAAAATATGTATTAAACCCAAAATATTAAGCATATATAAATATATATTTTCCAAACATACAAGAATGTAATGGAAAAGAAATATTAACTGCTTGGCTATGGTCAAAAGAGTAACCTTTCCGCACTTACTATTGTTTAATTTCAAATTTGTCATGGTGTTGGTTTGGGGATTTTTAAAATTTGCATAATAACTGTTTGCATTTGATTTGCCAGTCCTCAAGAAATACATTATTTGGGGTTTTGGGACTTTTTTAAAATATATATTTATTGGAGTTCAAAAGTAGCCTTATGGGGAAACTCAAAGAACATTTAAAGAAGTTTAAGATCTGGTTTTTTGGATACAGCTGAAGAAAACATGTTTTAATTCCGTGTTTCAAAGTTTTTTACAACATGTTTTAACAAAATTATTTAAAATGTATTAAAAACATTTTACAATGGGTAAACATTTTGATCATTTTACAAGCCAGTTTTTATCTAACGAGGTGAGGTTGCTACAAATGAAAATACGCATCCATAAGCACTTTACCAGCTTTATGTTTCACAGTTAGTATTATGGGGCCTTAACAAGCTGAGTTGAGAGCACATTCCAGTTCAAATGCATTGTCAAATTCATGCTGTAGAACAAAGTATTCAAGGTAAGAAAAATAATACATTATAGTACCTAATGAATAGTGAGCCAGGGGTATCATTAGTTTGTCATTTGTTTTCTCTTTTTAATAATTGTTCACTCTGATGACAATGGAACACTGTGTTCTTAATGATTAATGTAGTTGTCTCGATCTTTAGTTTTCTTAAATATGGTAGGTAACTTTTATTGTAATGAAATAATCGTTGCTAATTTAAAATAAAAGCTTGGTTTTTAAAAGTAATAGAGAACTAATTGTAAAATATATAAAAATATACTACATGAGTGCTCTAAACTGTATTCCATTTATTTCAAGAGAGAAGTTCTTGACATCACATAGATCACCTAACACATTCCTTTCAACAATTCAGGGCCATTTTCTACTTGAATTTCTTAATTGTTTCATTCAAACTATTATTCTATGACATATGGATTGTTAGCTCACTTACGTGCTTTGACAAATTATTATCCTGCCTTGAACACACATTGTTGTAATGTAAAAATTTTCTTTGGCTAGTATCAGTTTTTAATTTCTAACTCTGTTTAATCATTAACTAATACCTCTCTGTCTTCATTATGTCTCTGATACTTATCATTGTTTTATGGAAGCTTGAACTTTGGACAAGGGAGCAGCTGATATTTAAATACATACATATTTTTATCTGTAGCTTCTGTCCTGGTAACCTGCAACTCTAGGTTAAGGATTAAGGCCTTTGTAAGTGAAGGTATGTTATTCCAAAATGCAATTGAGAGTTATGATATACACAATAATCTGTTTGGAAAAGGAATGCTGGATTTTTTTATAATGGAATTAAAATGAAGCACTTCAAGAGTAGTTACCACTGAGTAAAATCTAAGCCACAGTAGTACTGTTCTCTCTTTAAAGAAGCAAACAACAAGGCAGAAACAGTTGCTGATTTTGCTGTTTTGGCTGTCACAGAAAATATAATCTAGGCTAGTCAAAAGAAAATATTCATAGCTCTTTACAATATTTAAGTTACATGTGAAGGAAAATACTGAAAGCTAAAATTACATGTCTTAGCCTATATACCACACATCTAAATTTCTTTATTAAGATTTGCTTATAAATTTCTCAGTGAATCCTTGAGATGTGATATTCATAACTAAGAAAGTTTAGTTCCTGTGCAAGTTGGTGTTATCTACAGAAGTCCACTATTTTTTATTGCTTATTTTGAACTGTATTTTTATTCTTAGCGAATTTAGATCCTGAACCTACAAGTCTTTGACCACCGCTTGTTTATGCGTGCTTATGCTTTCAATGCTGTTCTTCAGTCTAAAACAGTTCTTTCCTTCATTGGGATCCCTTTTTGATAAGTAAGTACACAGAGTCTTTTCTCAGCCTCCATTTTGCTAGACTATTGTACTAGATCTGGTTGGGACATAGTTAATTTTCTTCATAGTAGTTGGTATGGTGCTTTGTTTTAGATTTATGACCAAAACAATGGTAACAACTCAGCAATGTTTTAGTTATTGCTGAACATTGCTTGCAAGGCCTTCTCCTTTTCTCTTTGCTCTCCCCTACCACCTCCAGTGAGCAGGCTGGAGGTGCACAAGAGGTTGAGAAGTGACGTGGACAGGACAGCTGAGCCAAACTGAGCAGACGCATCGTACTACATAACATCATACTCAGCATTAAAAGGAGGAGGGAGTTTTTCAAAGGTAACCGTTGCTCAAAGCTGGGCATCAATCTGCTGGTGGGAGGTGGTGAGTGATTGCTTTTGCATTACTTAGTGTTTTTTTCTTTTTTTTTTTTTCTTTACTTATTAAGCTGTGTTTATCTCAATCCCTGAAGTTTTCTCACTTTTACCCTTCCAGTTCTCTCTCCTGTCTGGCTGGGGCAGCAAGCTACTGGGTGGCAGCTTAACTGCCAGCCAGGGTCAAACCACTACAGCTATGCCATGCAATCTCTTGAAGACACTTGCCTCCATTACTGTCATTTTACTAGCAATCCTCATCTGCTTCATTGTTCTTGAAAACAAGCGACCAGAAACATACAACATAATGAGATCTCATGAAGGATTTAGAAACTGTTGCTAATATTTCCACCTTCCATGGGAAATAGGGAACGGGCTAGTGCCAGTGTTTTCTTCATGACCATATCACACTGGTGGCTCATACTTGAATAAGTTCCCTTGCCAGAACTTTGTCCAGTTCTTTCAGAATCCTGGGATGTCTGAAGAATCTTTCACTATTTATAAAAAATCACACACACACACACACAAATCCAACAAAAAACCCAAACAGAAACCCCAAAGTCTAACCTGCTTAATTTTTAGTTAATCTCAATTTTTCCCTAATTTCTTGACCTCTAGCACACAGCTTTTTTCTTGATCAATCCTTTCTCCCTTTGCCTCTGGGCTTTCTGGTTTGTCCCAATGGTGCTGATAGGTGCCACTAGTACTTCCATTCCTTACCCCCTCAATCAAATCATCCTCCTCAGACTGTTCTCTCTTGTAACAACCTGTATTCCATTTTTATTCATCCTTGGCTTCTTGGTTTCCCTCTCTTTTTTGTGTGTATGTTGTGTTGCTCTTCTCTTATTTGTTGCCACACGGTGTTTTGTTTCTGCCAATTTCTCATCTTCATTCTCTAGTGCAATAGACCTCTTGCATATTATTTGTCCTATTTTAGCCATTCTTTACTTCTGCCCTGTTCTACAGATATGTGTCCTCAATACTTTCTCTTTGGCTTCTTGCACAACAAGGGGCTGTAAATCTTCTCTTCTTTTCTCTGTTACTGCTCCAAATGCCCCTCTGAAATTGTACCATCACCTCCATCTCTCTCTAGTCCTTGGACGTTTAATTGAGCAACAGCTCAGGCATAAAGTGCTTTTTTCAGATCCATATTAAAGTACTGTCTAAATCATGCAGAGCTGAGCTCTACACCCATTCATTTGCATTGTATCTGCAATTCTTCTACTTCAGTGTGTCATTTACCACAATAATTACAGCCTTCTTTAGAGAATTCTGCC